CACTGTACCTCTAAGCCCTTTCATAGGACCACTTATTTGTGCCTTTTGCGTTGATTGTACTCACTATTCTAACCACCATTCTCGCTGCTCTCACTATCACACTTACTGGCTCTTACTCTTACTACATCCCAAAACCAGCCATCTTGTTGAGGTGCCTTCAGTTTCACAAAGTATATTCTTCTAGACCCTCATATTCGATTAGATTTTACTAATAACATATTCTCCAGTTCTGTACCGCCCATCATTTTTTTTAATTTTAATTATTACTTGCATTGCTATACACTGTGTCCCAGATTGGTGCTGCATGTATTGCTATCTCGGTTATTATAAGAGTTACAAAATCGGTTAAATGGGCAATGTTTCCCAGGATTCTATTACCATTTCAGAACTGCTATTACATTTTGTCAGTTAGTTTTGGTTTTTTAATAAATCGCGAAAAACCAAAAAGGAGGATCTTTGACAGTCCTCTGTATCTCGATTATTTGAGGACATACGGTATATTGGTCTATACATTCTATGGGCACTTTTTTAAGTTCCTAATTAATTTTGCTGCTCTGCTCAATTTGGTCTAGTGGGCGAGCCAAAAATATGTTCTATAACTGTCAAATTATAGTTGGTTTAACATCAGGGCTGGTATATCTAAGGGGGTCGCGACATAGACCCAGTAAATGGATGAGGGGGTGACTGAGGCTAGGGGGGAAATAGTAGTCAGCTTAAGTTGGCAACACTTTTCTGATGTTCGTTTGAACGAGCATCGTGCATAATAATGTCAATATGGTACAAGTGGAATGAACCACTGTTTTCCTCGTAGTCGTATAAATAGTCCAATGTCGAATTAAAACTAAAAACATTTTGTACTTTTTTATATACCAAATTATGCAATTTGTTTCCACTTTATTTTAATGTTACATGAATAGGTACATGCGTTTGTGCTGTGGTAAATAAGTGTTCATGTGAAAATTATATCTTAAACTACATTGTGACTGCACTCATCTCAAAACTGAATGCTGTAAATCCAGGATTTAAATCTTTCATAGTGTTGCTTGGGATAAATTTTAAAAAAGGTGTTGGACAAAACCATTATTAAAGAGAAATTAGTTATCATCAATAAGATATTTTGTAGTAGCTGGTCTCTATAAATAATAAACTTGAAAGACTGAATTAGTAGTCACTTTTACACTAGAAGTAAAAACAAAAAAAAAATGTGTGGTTGAGACTAATTTGTGTATTTAATAAAAACATATTTAACATAAAAGCAGGTGTTATTTGAAATGTTTTATTTTAGTTTAATAATCTTTATAAATTGTGGGTACATTTGATCCGAATCTTGCAAATACTATAAAATGCATATGCTTCTATATGGTTAGTATTGGAGTAGAAGCACAAAGGTTTTGAATAGAAATATATTCTTTAAATACAATATTCACTAGATATGCTAATTTTCTATTCGAAACCATACATGTTTTCTATTATAGTTTTCATACTTTTATAATTCTAGAGATACCGGAATATTTTGCTTGATTACTAAACTTTGGATGTTTTTGTTGTAGTCTGCTGTTAACACTATTGTCCTGAAATATTAAAAAAGCTAGACAAAGGTTTGTCCAACTCTTTTGTCAGCTTTGTTAATCTATGCTACTGTTATTCTGCATGTGGACATTTTTTACTGGAGATTTTCTCTAAGAACTGTATTCAGTTTCAAATTTCGGCCAGTTTAAGGAAAGTACCTCTCTTGTAAAGGTATTTCAAAGCCATCCTTTGTGAGAAGTAGACAACAAATACATGCTAAAATGTATAGAAAACAAATCGCAAGATATTACACAAAATTATTTAAATTAACTAAAAACATACAAATGAAGTGAATAATACTTACCAACAATTTAAAAAGACCTAAAATAAATAGACTTAAGGGACTGGAGCTCTAAAAAAGGGAGCAATAATTTGTTATGCATCATCTATAAGAAAATTGTCTTCATCTCTTCAATTACCATTTAAAATAAACAAAACCAAAACAAGCACAAAATTGAAAGATATCTACTTTTCCCGACGTATTCTATGTACATCTGAGATTAATAATTTATTAAATTGAAATATTTTATCCTAAAAAATATGGGCATTTTATAATGGAAATATCATTTAAAAAATGACATTGATTTTTTTTCTTATATTGGTGAACCTGGCGACTACAAGTTGCCACGTTGCCAGATCAATGGCGACTACTATGTGACTACTATTTCGAAAAAAATGGCGTCCAAAATGGACTCCTATGTCGCGACCCCCTTAGATATACCAGCCCTGGTTTAACATTAGATTTTATTCGTTCATTTTCAATGTGCTAGTTCAGTGTGATGTCATTTTGGTTCTACTGACATTTAATTCTAATCAAACTTTTAACATAAACATCAATAAATTTGACGTATACGTTTTTACTAAAGTAAAAACAGTAAGTTTTTAGTTTATTTCTAAATATTGTTTACAGGCAATAAAAAATAGTTTAATGGTATGTAGTTGATAACTAAACGATTGAATATTTGATTCATGTTATCTACTTACTCTAGGAATATATTTATAAAAGTGAAGAAACGATATAATTTAGGTAAACAAAACGAACAAAACGCACTCAAAAAATCTACTGTCACTTTAATTGTCAGTGGAACCATAAATACATCATCACTGAACTAGCGCATTCGTTGCTTTTTTTATGTTAAATTTAATTTCCGTTACGTTATTATTTTCAGATATGGCTCTTAAGTATACCAATGATAAAAAATTAGCCCACAGAAACTTTACAGCGGATATTTATGAAAATAAATTTCCTGAACGGCATCAACCAAACGCAAGACATTTTAGGGATCTGGTATTAAATTTGCTAAATTATGGAAGTTTTGAAAAATCCAGAAATCATAAATATGCTATTGAAAATGAGGAGAGAATTGATGCTGTATTACAATACCCTAATAATAATCCCACAGCATCGGTTAGAAAAATTGGTAATGAAACGGATATCCCAAAGTCATCCGCTCATCGAATACTGGACGTTAATAAATATCATCCATACAAACCTAGGATTGTACAAGGTTTATCGGCAAATGATTTTCCCCGACGGGTAAGATTTTGTGAATGGTAAATTCAACATATGCTAGAAAATGCCAATTTTTCCATGAACATAATATGGACTGACGAAACTCGATTTACCAATTGCGGAGTTTTCAAGAGACACAATACCCATCACTGGGCTATAGAAAACCCAAAAGTCATCTCACAAAGAAGATTCCAAACATAATTTGGATTTAATGTTTGGTGCGGCATAATAGGCAAGTATAAAATGAGATTTACGTTTAAATATGAAATTATTGAAATTCTAACTTTTAGGAAATCAATTAATTGGACCAATAATTTTTAATTTCAATTTAAATGCAGCACGATATCTTCAGCTCTTACAAGAACAAATAATGCCCGCTGTGAGGACATCTGTGGGGAACTTGGATCAAATTTGGTATACGCACGATGGTTGTCCAGCTCATAATGCCACCGTCGTAAAGAATTATTTGGAAGAAAACTTCCCCAATAGATTAATTGCGAATAATGGCGACATTTTGTGGCCTGCTGGATCCCCTGATATAAATCCCCTTGACTTCTTCTTATGGGGACACATTAAAAATGAAACTTACTGATTTGAAGCCCCCGAAAACATTACAGTTTTAGAAGAAAGAGTCCGAAACGCTATGGGTGCAGTGAATATAAACACATTGTTAAGGGCAATAAACTCTCTGCAAAATCGTTGTCAAATGTGTTGTGATCAAAATAGTGGCCACATAGAACAATTTCTTTAAATTAGACAGTTTATATCTGCAGCTTGTATTGTAAATTGTTCCAAAAATTATCGCAAAATCCTTGTTTTTATAGAGTTCAAATTAAACCGACTATAATTTTCAGATTTGTTTAATTCAGCATTCAGTTGAAAGAAAGTATCATGTTGTGATACATTTTTAAAAAGGGAATTAACAATTCTATTTAATGCAATAAAAATCCAATATGGCGTCCATAAGAAAAACAAAGTTATAGTCAATATCTCGAAAACGGAAGGAGAAATTCTTTTGTTTTATTTTTTATTATAAAGACCTTAAAAAAGTGCCCATAGAATGTCTAGACTAAAATACCGTATGTTCTCAAATAATCGTGATACAGAGGACTGTCAAAAACCCACCATTTTGGTTTTTGGCGATTTATTCAAAAACCAAAAATAACTGACAAAATGTAATAGCAGTTCTGAAATGGTAATAGAATCCTGAGAAGCATTGCCCATTTAACCGATTTTGTAGCTTTTATAATAACCGAGATAGCAATACATGCGGCACCAATTTGGGACATAGTGTATATGAGTTATTATAGTTTAGTTTGTTATTCTTAACTTTCAATTTAACTACTGGGGCACCCCTTTCACATTTTTAATTTCTAACTTTTGCAACGTCTCACTTCCAACACATACTTTTACTCCGGAGTAAATGTTTCGCTACATACCATGTAAATTTCTAAAAACATTTTTTTACACCTTTTATACTTACGTAAGTTAACCTTTTAATAATAAAATTCTTCCTTTTAACATGATAATAATTATGTGATAAATTACTTGAAAATCCTCAAATATATACCAATATTACTTACACAAAATAATAAATATTATTTTACGACCCCCAAGGTGAAAACAAATTTAATTAAAAATTTTAAAAATTCAGAGCGGTCTGCTTAGAACACGGATATGTGAGTTCGAATCCCCCCGCGGACAGATTCTCTTACTAATAAATATATTGTAGGCCTGATGATGGCCAAAACTAGTCGTTTTTACTAAATATAATAATGTGGTACAGGTTTTGTGGCTTTATTTTATTCTTTGAAATGAGTTTTCTTTGTTATATCTTAACCATATTTGTTCAGTTTGTATCTTCTCTGTATCAGTGCCAACATGAAAAAGAAAAATATATTGTATCTATTTTTTTTACCTTCTTTGTCATATAAACGGAATGCTTCTTTTAGTTCTTGCATCATTGCCTCTGCATCTTCTTCAACCATGAATCTGGAGGCTAGCGTAATAAATTCATCAAATTCTAGTTCTCCAGAACCTAAAATACAATTTCTATAAATAAGTTGTTACTCCTAGTTGCTTAATTCTACATTATATTCTTTGGTTTTAATCAAGAAATAATTGTTACATATGTTAAATTCTTCACAGTCACAATTTCTTCTCAAAATAATACATGGTTAGTTCAAGGAAAAAAAATAATAGATTTAATGATAAAAAAAGTCGACTACATCAAGGATAAATTTTAGGATATTTGAAATAAATAAAGTTTTACACAATAGTTGTTCTCCTAAGACTGAAATCTTCTCTATTGCAGTCGCAGAAAGAGGGGTTATCTTCCCATCAGCTGGGGCAATGGACTGTAGTAATTTAGCCAGTAGAACAGTATGATGTTTGTAGTTAAACTGCCAGACTCTAAATTAATTATGATGAAATTAAATGTGTTTTCCAATTAACAACTTTACTAACAATTTTACCTATTGAAAAAATACAAGTACTGAGACTTATGATAAACGAATATTTAGCAGGTTTAATACATTTAAAATTTAGCACCCAGTTCGCGCGGGAGAAAGCAAAGACGTTAATGTGTCGAAAGTCAAAATTATTCTCACTGTTTTCTAGTCGAATCAAGTGTCTGCGAACGTGTTTCGTTATCATTGGTTGAGGGACACTGTCTGATGTAGGCGTGATTTAATTTGCAGAGAAGGATAGAATATTGTCTTTTGTAGCTGTGGATATGTTTTAATGGTCTATTTTTACTACACTAAAGTAAAACAAATCTATGATTGTGACGTTAATTCCTAAATTGCTAGTAATTTTCCATGAGTAACTTTAAGAGGGGTAAATATCAATAAATGTTTACGGTGTTTGTTGTATTTAACACAAATTTTTTTGTGTGTGTTAACATTTACGTAGATGTGTACTATACATCGTATTCGCTCCGTGCGAAGTCATGGAAAGGGAAGCAAAAGCGATACTAGCGCTACCTGCGGATAATTCGTGCATTTTAGGGCGATATTTTGTAATTTTGGCATATCAAATACACGTATACATTTTACTTTTTTTTTAAAAAGTAGGTACAGACAATACAATAAGCAACCGGAGTTGTAATTTTGTGACTTACTGATGAGAAACCAGTTTTAATCATTCATTCTATGTTTTCTTTCGAACAAAAATAAAAATATAAATAGCGATCCTTTTTTTATACATTTTAACTTCATGCTATTATTAAATGGTATTTTTTTATTTTGACAACAGGCTAATTCTTCAATGAAAACTTATTAGACTTAGGCAACTTCTCATACATTTTCCAGTAAATACTGTTGCCTTCCTATATTTTATTATTGATTTTCATTGATTATACATAATTTTCTTTAATTTAAGTGTTAAAAATATATAATAATAATAAATTAATGTTTTACTTGTTTTACAAATCCATATACTTTTATTAAAACTAACATATATACTTTTTAATTACGAATTCTAATAAAAATTGTATTTGTCAGTATACACAGAAATAGCCCATTAATACCAAAACGAATTGGCGCTGTGGTCGCGCACGGAGCTAATAAAGACGCACAAAAATATTTTTGGCAGATACAACGCACGCTATCCACCAGCCTGTCGGTTTTTGTAACAAAAGTTAGAGATTTGTGAGGAACGCTTGTGTGAATGTGGATTTAATCTCTGAATTTTGAAATATCATAATCTGAAGAATAAATATGAATATTTGCTATATTGAGTTCACTCCATAAAAATAATAAAAACATGTTAAAAAAAGACGTTTATTGGACAACAAACTAAAATTTTTCTTAGATAGACAAAACATAATTTTTGCCCAAAGATTTTTATTGAATTTAAAATACAACGCACAAAATATAAGTGTGTTGATATGGAGACGCCTTTAGATGTACTGGCGCTCAAAATTCAGGTGTGCAAAGTCGTAAAAATATGTTTATTTCTAAAAAAATAAATTAAGTAAATAGTGTTTACTGTTGTTAAGGGGCCAGAGCCGTCTTCAAAAAATTTGGTAATATAATGTACTGAATGAATAATAAAATATATTGTTCCTATGCTTTTTATCTATTATTTATACAGGGTGATTTATGTGGATTATAAATAGAGTAACTGAAATATCTGTGAAAAATGCTTATAATTTTTGAAAAAAAGTAATTGTTTGTTTCATTCTTCCGCCTGATTAAATTGTTAACAATGAGTTAAAAAATTAATAGCAGAAACAAAAGATACCCTAATGTGACCCACTAAAGAAATATTAAAAAATTTCAAAAATTATTTTTAAATAGTGAAAACACTGGAAGAAAAGAAGATCTGCACCTCACTCTTTTTAGATATAGCTCCGGCTTTCAATCAAATATGGTAATAGGGCCTTGAGTATAAAATAAATAAACTTTTACCTAAGCCAGTGGTTCTCAAACTTTTTTGGTGGTTCCATCGCTGTTTGAAAAGCGAAATATTTGACGAAGCCGTAAACACATTTCGGAAAAAAAAGACCTTGCTCTAGCCTCTTGCCAGGTCCCTTCCATTTCTTTGCAGAGCCCCTACCACAAAATTCTCAAAATTATATCATCCCTCCTCTGGCCTCAAAAAAAGGTCCTCATACCAAAACATATACGCTTTTCTCTTTCTGACTTCTAAAAAAAAAGAGGTCCCCCCTACTAAACTCGTATACTCCCTCCTTTTATTTTTCTGAATTCTAAATAAAGGTCCTACATACCAAACTCGTATACTCCTTCCTTTTATTTGACCGAATTCTAAAAAACAAAAAAAAGGTCCTTCTACCAAAATACCAAACTCGTATACTCCTTCCCTTTATTTTACTGAATTCTAAAAAAAATGTCCTCCAAGCGCAATACTAAAATCGTATACTCCTTCCTTTTTTTTTATTTCTAAAATAAAAAAAAACAAAAAAAAAACAAAAAAAAACAAAAAAAACAAAAAAAAACAAAAAAAAAAACATAAAAAAAAACAAAAAACAAAAAAAGGTTCTCAAGCCAAGTCCCGTTGTAGCGATAGGTACTGCCCTCACAAAGGCTTTGCAAAGCCCCAGGGCTCCGCGGACCACACTTTGAGTAACGCTGACCTAAGCAATATTGTGAAATCTTAAAATCCTACTTGACATAGAATCTTTCGAGTAAAACAAGAAAAATATCCTACACTTAAAAAACTAAAGCAAGGGTACATCAAGGAAGTGTTCTGAGACCAGTTCTTTACCTGTTGTTTACCTCTGACACACCACAAACGCAAAATGTAAAAGAGGTTATATTTAGCGACGAGATAGCCATATTTTTCATTGCTAAAACCATAGAATAGACCAGAAATTTATTTATTTATTTATTTATTTATACATTGTTCAACAGGTTAAACCCAATTACAGAACAGGAGTACATTTGAAATAAAACAGTTTAACAAAAAGCATATAGATAATTAATCTAAAATTACAGTAAATAAATTCAAAATTATTTTAAACAATGTGTTTTTATGTTTTTAACACTGCAATTAAATATATCCAACTGTTCACTAATATTATTATAATTATTACACATGTTATATACAGGTGAAAACTTCAGAACGTTTGTCCGAGGAGTCGCTATGTAAAATGATTCAGTGTTTCGAGAGGTTGCGCGTGGGATTCTAAAATTAAGCATATGTAAAAGAGCTTCACAATTGATTTTAAAATTAACAACTTTGTAGAGGGTAATTATGGAGAAGTACTTTCGTCTTACGTCGAGACTTGTCAATCTGTGTCTAGTCAGTAAAGCATTTTGAGTAATACCAATCGGTGGATAAATTTGGTCTGCCCGAAAACTTAAGTATTTGAGGAAACGCCTTTGTGTGGACTCTATCCGACAAATGTGTATTTCATAATAAGGATCCCAAATAAACGAGGCATATTCGAGTTTAGATCGAACAAATGAGAAATACAATGATTTAATAGTATCTGTGTTTTTAAAATCACGGCCCACTCGTACTATGAATCCATACATACGATTTGCAGCTGTTGAGATGTTATCTATGTGGTATTTAAATGACAATACTGGGTCAAATGTAACCCCTAAATCCATAAAATTGTTGGGTTTAGAAAGCAAACGTCCATCAAGGACATAATCGAATATAATTGGATGCGCTTTTAATGTGTATGACATTACGTTACATTTGACGGGATTCAGTGTAAGACCATTATTGTTGCACCATTCAACAACTTTATTCAAATTTTCCGACAACTGTTCACAGTCAGAAATATTTTCAATAGCTGAATATATTTTTAAGTCATCAGCATACAGCAAATAATCAACATTTATAGCGTCACCAATGTCGTTGATAAAAATATTAAATAACAGCGGACCCAAATTTGAACCTTGCGGTATACCAGAGGTGGCGCAATATTTGTTAGACTTGAATCCATTTAATTCAACATATTGTGTTCTTTGAGAGAGATACGATTGAAAAAGTGTGATCAAACTATTAGAAAGACCAAATGCGCAGAGTTTCTGTATCATAATATTATGATCAAGTCTATCAAATGCTTTTGTCATATCCGTATAGATGACGTCAGTTTGGACCCGATTATCAATATTTTCAGCTATTTGCTGTGTGATCACAGAAAGATTTGTTACTGTGGAACGCCCTTTAACAAAACCATGTTGCTGAGCTGAGATTGCGTTACAAACATGTTGATAAATACTACGTTCCAGTAATATTTCTAGAATTTTGCAGAAATTGCAAATGATAGAAATCGGCCTATAATTTTTGATATCAGTACGTTCACCTTTTTTAAAAATTGGGCAGACTTTAGAACATTTCCACATCGAAGGAATTGTATTGGATTTAAGGCAGATATTTATCAAAATAGTTAGAGGGCGAGCTAATACTGCTGAACAATCTTTTAAAATGAACGCAGGAATATGATCCGGTCCTGTGGTACGTTTGGGTTTAATGTTTTTTAAAGCATCCTGGACCTGGGTTTCAGAAAAATGAGTTATATGAAGCTGAGATGGCTGGACGTCCTTTAATGATATGTTT